ATTTGAATAAATGTGTTAATTAAGGGAAAAAAGGGGTGTACGCCTGGAAATCACACTGCATTACAGTTAACCTAATAATGATAAAACCTCCATCGACCCTATTGGTATTATTAATTTATTATACAACGGTATTTTTTGGTCTATGTAATAATATTCTATTTGAATGATTTTTTCCCTTGAAATTGTGTAAAATCAAACCGAATGAAAAAAACTTACCAAAATTAGAGCACAAGAGACTTATAGACGGGTACAAAAACGAATCCGGACAGTATCGGATTTCTCTGTAAACGGTCATTTTGTTTTCGTCGTAGTATTCTTTTGATTGATTGTACTTAACGGAGGCCAAAAGTTTGTTGTTCTCGCCGAGCATGCTTCTAGAAGATATTCTGTAATTTATAATATAATTGACGATGAAAATACCGAATTGTCAGTTAATAACCAATTTTGGACGAATCAGAAGACCGCTTTCACAAAAGCCAAAGTTTTCTATCGATTGTTATTATTTGTAATATATATATATATGTATATAAATACTTTAATTATAATGTAAATATATACAATGTGTATAATAATAATTGATAGAAAACTTAAGCTCTGATTGTCAACTGTATCAGTTCATTTAATAATACTGTAATATTATGATTTATTATTTATGAATAATATATTATAACATATTTTAAATGACATCGGGCACTTCAATAGTCTACAGTGAGTACCTTTTTCTATAGTCAGTAATTACGAGACAAAAAAGGAATGAATCAATATTGATTGCAAATTAAGCGTTAAACTACGTATCCGAAATTATATATTTATACTAACACACCTAATGCCCTAATAATATTATTGTAAGTACAGTAGAATCCTATAGTCTGTCGCCTTTGGAATTAGGGTATGGTAGGAACGCAGAAAAGGTTTAATTATCAGAAGAAATAAAACAGAAAAATATAGGTTTATAGTATGTAAAATATGAAATTGTATAATCTGATGTACATATTATATTAAAACGAAAAAATTGAAATGACTTTAAGTAGTAAAAKATAACCTTAAGGTATAATTTTGTATAGGTATCTACTATAAATTATCAAATATAAATGTTAAGCAATATTCTACTAAATATTGATAATACTGTATGGTCGGATCACTCGAATTTTACACATTATACAATACATATATGGATAGTTAGATATGTCGGAGTAGCATGTSATTTAAATAATCGATATACAACGTGGAGGGGAAGATAATGGTAAATCATATAGATATTACTTGTATCCAAGTATGTTGCAAATTATGGTGGCCGACAGTTCTGAATCCCAGCTCTGAATGCACGCGGGTCGCCACGACGTCGTGTTCGGTGAATAGAGCTCCAGCATCCCTTCACCTCGCACTCCCATCTCGCCACTAAGTCGCACTGTATACACACACACACACATATATAATACATACGAAAGAAAACTTTTTTTTCGTGACATTTCAAAAAACAATGCTGAATGATTATGTGTTTATGTATTTTTTTTAGGAAACAGGAAATATTATTATTTAAAATGATAATTTACCACAATTCCGTTCATCTTGTCCCCATTCACAGTCAGATACGCCGTTGCAAATGTGCTCTATAGCTATACATTTTCCAGCGCCACAAAACAATTGATCTGCAAAAAAAAAACACGAATGACGAATATAGGTATATTGTTATTGGTTATCATCAGTTTTCCCTTTCCAAGTTTCACCTCTTAAATATGATATAATATCGATATAACWCGCAACCAAATGTCAACACTTAAAACGAAAAGTTTGTTTAAATATAATTTGTGTAGGTAAAAACGTAAGATCAAGTTTGCATGAAAAGCTAAGTATAGTATTGATGATAAAATATATTGAAATTGAAATTTTTTTTTTGTTGATTTACGCTTTCACATTATAATCTTCCCTGTTGCGTATGTATAGAACGTTTTAATTATCAAATATATATTATGTACATTGTATTATATTGGTTTTAAATCTTATTTTCTAATAAGTTTTAGTGAAAATCTTGCTAGTATATGGTGTACAATCTTCGAAGACAATTTAATGATTTTAATGTGTTTCTTCGTTTTTGAGGCTAAAAATTAGATGTAAATATATC